CAGGTTGCTCAAAGCCTCATCCAACCTGGCCTTCAACACTTCCAGGGAGGGGGCATCCACAACTTCCTTGGGCAACCTGTTCCAGTGTCTGACCACCCTCACAGTGAAAAACTTCTTCCTCATATCTAATCTAAACCTCCCCTCTTTCAGTTTAAACCCATTTCCCCTTGTCTTGTCATTAATTGCCGTTATGAAAAGTCCCTCCCCAGCTTTCTTGTAGCCCCTTCAGGTACTGGAAGGCTGCTATAAGATCACCCCGGAGCATTCTCTTGTGTGGCTGTGTTTGGTTGCCAGCCCAGCGAAACCACCACAACTGGTAACATTTCAAGTTAATAATTTGTTTGCCCCATCTCACCCCTGCTCCTGTGAGCACCCCATTAAAGTGTGACGGAGAAATCCATCTCACCTGACTCCAAGTTCAGGGACAGGAAGGACAAGCAGGGGCTGGCTTTGACCACAATGTCACCCAAGTGCCTTTGCTTTTTGCTACCCTGATGCGAGCCAAGGGCAAGCGTTTGGCTCCACAGTTCCCAAGACGCAGGGAGCAGCAAGCACTGGTGGGACACACTGCACTGGGAAGTGGCATCACTCAGGTGCTGGTGTGAACCTGCTTCCTAACTTGACCATGCTCTGCAGCTTCCTTCTTGCATCTCCTTCATACCTGCATGGCAGCAGCCAACATTGTCTACCCCCTTCTCTATCTCTCAGCCTCTCCTCGCGGTGTAAACCTCAAGCACAACATCCTGGTTTCCATTCTCCGCAGGGACATGAGGCTCAGGGCAGTGTCCCCACGTCCCTGGCTGGAAGCCTGGGCACCTCTGCCAGTCACCATGTCCCACCAAGTAGGATGCTCTAAGAATGTTGAAGGGAGCTTATAAACAGGAGAAAGAGCGACTTTTTACATGGGCAGATAGTGATAGGACATGGGGAAATGGTGTTAAACTAAGAGAGGGAAGACTGAAGTTGAATACTAGGAGGAAATTTTTCACCCAGAGGGTGCTGAGGCACTGGCACAGGTTGCCCAGAGAAGCTGTGGATGCCCCATCCCTGAAGGTATTCAAGGCCAGGTTGGATGGGGCCCTGGGAGCCTGATCTAGTGGTTGGTGACCCTGTCCACAGCAGGGGGGTTGGAACTGGATGATCTTTAAGGTCCCTTCCACCACAAGCCATTCTATGATCACCTAATATTTAACTTGTTCTCAAACCCCGCACCCCTGCTTGAACTGCGTGTGCAACCCACTCTCCCAACAGCATTTTCCAACCCTCTTTTCTCCTTCTACAGAAGGAAGACCAGGCTATTCCCACTCACATGTATTTTGCCTATTACCCAGGGATTAAAATGCAAAATTTGGATTAAAGGCTGTGGGACAGGGAGCTGCTGAGCCACCTCCGCGCCAGCGTGGATGTGTCTGCACATTCCTCATCCATGTCGAGGAATTTGCCACCCACAAATCACATGTCTGCTGCGACGCCCATTAGTTCACATTAAATTAACATTGAAGCCTGTTCCTGGTAGAATAAAAGTCGCTTTATTTTTCCCCCCCCATGAAAAATAAACAGGGGAGGATTTGTTCTAGCTCAGCACGTTATGCAATAGGCATGTTAAAAATAAAAGTCAGCTTTAATTTTTAATTAAAGGAATCTGCCTTCTCCTCTGAAATTCCCTTTCTAATACAGGTCATTGATGAGAATCAGCCTATTCTATTAACGGGGAAAAGCAAAGGAAGGAGCAGAGCAGCAGCTGGCCGCTTTCCAAAGTGCAAAACGCTCCGATTTCCACTTTAAAAAAGGAAACAAAAAACAAAAACCCAAAAAACCCACAACAAACCAAACAGGCTTTAGGGGTTAGTTTTTCCCTGCGCAGCTCATCTCTTTAGTATCCAGCCACAACCCCAACTCCTGATTTCCAAAAAGGGGTCTGATGATCAAGGAGCAATTACAGGGAGGGCAGGGAACAGCCGGCTGCCCTGGCTCTGCCTTCCCAGCAGAGGGGAAATATCCTTCCCAGAAGCGTGCGAGTCATCTGGAGTTTAATTAAACAGCTGCTAAAGCATGCTAGGAAAAAAAAAAAAACAACAAAAATCACCCGAGGTTATTTGACTGTAGGTGTCCCGGGAGCCCAAAGCTTTCCAAATAGCTGAGCTTATGAGGCAAAGCAAACAGGATGCTGGGATGCGTGTTAATGTTTAAGCCGCAGGAAGAAAGCGAGTGGGAATGAGGGTTTGGAAAGGCCAGGGAAAGCAGAAGGTTGCTGTGAGGTAAAGCCTGTGGAATCGGTGTAAAAATACACTATTCACAGCCTGTGACTCATTCGCTCGAAACCACCTTGGCCATTCCTATTTTTAAGGACGGCGGTGCTCAAGTAAAACCGAGCTCTAGCTGGGAAATTAAAAAAAATTAAAAAAAAAAAAAAAAATCAAACTTCTCTGCAGCCTCAAAGCCACCACGTTTCTCACCTTTCCGTCGCCGTTGCTGGAGTCCTGCGCTTGCCACTGAGGCTGCATTTGCACCTGCACAGACAGACACACGGAGACTGTTAGATACACGGACCAGCGTGAAAAACCAAAGGTGCTGTGGCAGCTTTGACCCATCAGCAGCCTCCCCAAAACCAGTCAGTTGTACCGAGGTGCTCTGCCAAGTTTGGGTTGGTTTTTTTTTTTGAGCACTGCAGCAAGAGGTTTGCAATGCCGAAAAGAAAAAAAAACAAAACCCTGAAAGGTCCCTTCAGGCTGTGGCTCAAACACCGACATCCTCTTGCATCCCAGTGTACCTGTGAGGATGCTCCAAGCAGCGGAAGGTGTCTGAAGGTCCTTCCTAAAGGGAAGGGGACAAAAGGGGCTGGGTGCAGAAGATGACATGAACTTGGCTTTGTTTTCTTTTCACAGCTGCTCCCAACAGCTCTGTTTGAACTGGTTGGTCCTATTTTCTGCCTTTGTTTTACTGTACCGCAATAAAAGCTCAACTCGGACAAACAGAAGCTGCAGCTGCTGCGCTCGTGTTAGGAAGGAACAGTCAGACCATTAAAAAAACCCAAAAACAACCCAAAAAACCAACACTCC